ATATCTATAAACAGATTTCTGTAATTATTAAAATTGTCTCGTTTGTTTAACAGTACAATGACTCCGAAATGCATTAACGTTTTATAACCGACACGATACTCGAATTGTAAATAAATGCATCTGATTTAAATTAATTGAAGTTTTAAGTCTTCACCCATTTGAATATCAAAATCGGAACATTTAAAACAAATTTAAAGTATTTAATTTTGTTGTTTTTGCTCCAAGCAATTAATTAATGAATAATTTTGTCAATTCGTACCGTTTACAGCATTTATCAAAGGAACAATATCTGTTTTTATCTAAACTTTTCTACGAACAAAGCTACCACTCGAATTGAAAAGCCCTCTAAAGCTGCTATCAAGGGAGTCTAGAAAGTAGGTCAAATAACTTGTTTCTAATCGCTGTCTGCACTGTGGCAGGCGAGAAACGCCGTCTCTGCAATGAAATTTTTCTGAACAGCGGTCTACCCGATCTGTAAACCCGCCGTCGGCCTCTAAACGTTGTCTCTGCAATCGGCCCTTATTTCCCAGTACTTCTTAACTGTTTTTACGAATAGTTAAGAAGTACCGGGCAATAAAGGTTTAGTAAGTATGATTTTATGCAAAATACTGGTATTCGGATTAGAAGATTTGTGATCATTATTAGCATTTACAATTTTTTATAAAACTTAGCCCTACTCTCAAAATTCAGCTTTTTGCCATTTTATAATAGTTAAAAACATAAAAAGTTTTTAATAATAAAATATCATAATGGATGGTATTACACATGCAGTTTCAATTGTTGCCAGGAAAGTCAAGCAACTCATTGCTGGATTTTTTCAGAGATTCTGTGTTGTTTATGACTTATTCAGAAAATAATTTGAATTTTGATGTCCAAATAAAATATAAATTATTTTCTTTGACTTAATTGCTTTAAATTTCTGATGGAACTTAAAAACATAATCTGTTCTTGTTGCATTTGGGAAAACTTATTCTGTTCTGCTTTATGGTTTTGCTTATGGTTCTGCTGACAGTTCTGTGTTTGATCTTTATACAGAATTTAATGTGAAGATTAAATTCTGTATAAAGTATACTTGAATTATGAAAATGAAGTAGTCATTAGGTTTTGGATTAATTGTGTAATCTATCATTGATAAAACTGTGAATATATTTTGCCGTACTTTTGATGAGCAAGATGCTTATTTAGCTGTATTGTGTCTTTCAAAAAGAATTCTACCATTTTAAATCAATATAATTATGTTAAGTATTATCCAACAAGTATGTGATCCAATTGAAAACTTGGATGATTATCATTGGATGAAGTTTTATCTTTTATCTGCTTATTGTTTACTATCTCTAGGAAGTACCGTAAATAAAGATGGCAACCCTGAAACTGAGAAGGTGTTTTGTATTCTGTAGTTTGCAAAGTCATAATCAGTCATCATTATGCAATATAAGTAGTCTGCAGGAGCCATAGAATTGCAGTTACTGTGGAAGGAGCAACAATGGATGCTGCAATGAGCTAGGAAGAATTTGATTATTGGTTGAATGTGTGCTGTGTAACATGAGGAGCATGAGTTGAGAAACTAAGTGGACAAATGTGAAGCTTGGACAGTTTTCCAATGTTTTAATACACATGGTGATACTCTTAGATGATAATTAAAATAATTTTAATAACTTAATTTGGTAGCATTCTGTTTATTCTTCTATAAATAGAGATGTTTGTTTTTCATGTTGTGGTAGATATGATAAAGCTTCCAATTTTCGTTTTAACACTTTTGAGAATATAACAGTTTGGAATAAAATAAAATAAAATTTGTGTTATGAACTGAAAAATCACTAAACAAAAAAAAACTGTGATGTAATGCAAAATTTTAGCATTTATTTTGTTGCGTAAACAGGAATGAATTAAGTGATCAGTTTTAGCCTAATTTCATCTTATTTCTGTTGGAATTAGGATTAAAAGTGTAAGAACTAAAATTGTTGGATTTAGTTATTGGTGGCAAAGAGTTAAATATATCCTGGTGACTGAAATTACATCATAGACACTAATAACTGAGTTCTGTAATTGATTCAATAGTGGAAAAAAAAAAAAAGAGTAACTACTTCATATTGTGTATATTTATATTTTAATATCTAAAGAAAAATATTTATTTTATATAAATTATTTTATTATTAGAACTAGGATGACTCCACAGTATAGCATATGCCCCCAATGAAATGGCTTAGATTTGTGCCTTAACTCTACTAGATTTATTTTCTTTCTCTTACTGCTCAGTGGATACTAAGAGGGCCTTTTTTTCCATTTTGTTGTGAGTTTGCCAGGCCCATGCAGCAGTCAAGTGGTGAAAGATAGGGTTTGATATACAGTAGAACCTCCATTATCCGGATTTCCATTATCCGGATTTTCGATTATCCGGATTGTTCAAAATAAACAAAAATTTTACGAATTTGCTGATTTGCACTTGGTGAATTACGACACTGTTTATGTACGTGATGGAATGAATAACTTTTTTGTTTCAACAACGTCTCACCCAGCGCAATGGTCGCAAACTCTTAAATATATTTTATGTCGTAATAAAAATATAACTTGACATACGTACAGTGGTGCCTCGTATAACGTACTTAATCTGTTCCCGGCGCACGTCCATTAAGTGAAAAGTCCGTTATACGAAACGCATTTTCCCATAGAAATACATGTTAAAACATATAATTCGTTCCGCAGCATAAAATAACCGTACCGTACCATAAAAAAATTAAAATGGAGCAGTCAAAAATTATGCCGGGTAGTCAGATGTTGTGAGGAAGAGATGGGGGGAACACTTTCTTCACACACACATACAGATACAGACTTTTTACACATTGCAGCGAGTCTCTTTTTATTGTTTTTTAATCGGAGTCAGATTCAGGAGAGGCTACTGGAACTTGCAGGGTCAACTTCTCTTGTTCCATTCTGTTTTTTGCCCGCTGGCTTCTTGAAAAACATGACCAAGGTGGTCTGTTTCTCTTTCTTCTTTAACACCTGTCGGAAATGACGGACAAAGGTGTCATTGTAGAGATCATTGATTCTGTTGGCCTCAGCTCTGTTTGGATAATGAGTGTTAGTAAACTCCTGAACCTCTCCCCATTCGACAAGAAAGTTTTTGTCAACTTTCACTCCTGATGATTTCTTGCTTTGTTTCAATTGAAATCACCTTTCTGTTTTTTTTAGAAGCCATGATGCATTATAAATGACTTAACTTGCCAGATTATATGATACGAATAATTCTTTATTAATTAAGATCACTAAACACTTCTACGAGCTACTCTCGCTCCGTTTGTTTTTTACAACCTCTTTTCGTCCCGCCACCTCGGCATCTACACAATTACATTTCGTTTATTTGAATCGTCAACATATATTACATTACATTTAATGTTTATTTAAATCATCAACATATATTACATTACATTTCTACTTCAGATATACTAATAATACATTCTAATAATACTAATATATCCTAAAAATAGCAGATTGTCATTGGCAACGGCAAAAGAGTGGAAACATCATTCGCACTTGTTCGAAGAAAGTCCATTGTTCGTCTCACGTAACTGCCGAACGGAAAGTCCGTTGTTTGCAGCAAGTCCGTTGCTCGAGTCACGTAACGGTCAAACAGAAAGTCCGTTATTCGCAGCGTCCGTTATTCGAGGCGTACGTTATACGAGGCACCACTGTATTTATAAATGATTTATATTCAAATTACATCATTTCTATGACCAAGGGCGGCGTATGGGAAACGTGGGCCACCTACTATGCCTGGCGGTCCGAAGGGCCTCACGCCTCGAAGGTTTATGCATTACTTAAAAGCCGCGAATGCGATTTATCATTTTATGGCGATTACTCGTCATAAAACGATAAATAGTTTGTCAAATTTTTATTCATAAAAATGCAGTTTCAACTGCTTTTTATTTTATAAAATCCATCTTCTTGCGCCACCAGAGGGCCTCTTAAACAATAGGTAGTCTGTTAGCATTGGTCAGTAGTAGTCCAAATTCAATACGAACGTTTGTTTCTTGAAAATTTGATCATGATTTAAATACATTGTTTACTTTTAATATTACCGATATGTCATCGAAAAGAAAACGTGTTGTATTATCATTAGAAGACAAATTAAAGTATTTGTTTCGATTATCCGGATTTTTCCTTATCCGGACTACCTTCATCCCCAATTAGTCCGGATAATCGAGGTTCTACTGTATTTGGAATAGTTCCTATAATAAACATTACTGGGATTCTGTCTGAAGCCAATCCTAAGTCCCTAGAGAGGCAGGCTGACGCTTTTACTGCCTCAGACATTTGGCCAGCAAGAACTAGATTTTTCATTATCTGCTATGTTGCTTGCTTACAAAGATGTAATAAATATTTTGTTTTTAATGTATTTACTCTTCTGTATAATATAGTAAATATGAAAAATATTGAATTAAATTCACTTTTCTTTTACTTCATTCAAATATGCCATTATTGGTTTGACAGAGATTATAATTTCTGTAATCATTAAATTAAAATAATTTATTTAATTCATTCTTAGTTAATGTTTATGCATATTAATTCATAATTTTCTCCTTTCAGAATCCAGTTACTGGTCTTCTTCCTTCAGCAAATAAAAATGATCACGTGTGGGTTCGTGACAGTGTTTACTCTATCATGGCTGTGTGGGCTCTATCCATGGCCTACAAAAAGAATGCTGACCTTGATGAAGATAGAGCAAAGACATACGAACTAGAACAAGTAAGAGTTTTGTTACTTTTTGATACTTACTTGTAATATAACATTAAGAACTTTTATAAAATATTTTAAAAATTATTTAATTTCAGAGTTGTGTAAAGTTAATGAGAGGTTTATTAGGCTCCATGATGAGACAGAAAGAGAAAGTGGAACAGTTTAAAGAAACACAAAGTCCAATGGATGCTCTTCATGCTAAATTCAGTTCTACAACTGGAGCAACAGTAGTTAAAGATGATGAATGGGGACATTTACAATTAGATGCTACTTCATTATATTTGCTCATATTGGCCCAAATGACTGCATCTGGTTTGTGAAATTTATTAATTAAATATGAATAGTTTAAATTAATTATTATAAAGTTAATTTATTTATTTATAAAATTTAAATATATAAATTCTCATTTAAAATATATTTTTTTATTTCAGGTCTTCAGATTATTTTTAACTTAGATGAAGTAGCATTCATTCAAAACTTAATTTTTTATATTGAATCTGCTTATTGCATACCTGTAAGTAAATCCTTAACTCACTTTATATTAAACTAGCTGTTACCCGCGACTTTGCCCACTGAGATTTTGCAAGCAAACCCCATTTATATTCAGTATTTCAACAACCATAGTAATTGTTATATAACATTTACTGCTGAGAATCAAACGAACTGTTTTCAATTTGATCAATTTTTTGGAACATTTACAATCATTCTATAATTGAACCAATATGCAATAACAAATTTGAATTTAAAACGGTTTGAACATTTGGTTAAGAAATTGAAATATATGAAAATATTTATAACAATGTCTGAAATGTTATCAATTTAAAGGAAAGTATGGAATCAATTTCAAAAGTCGTTCTTCAGGTTAAGCCTTAATGCTCTCCCCTCTCCCCTCGCTGGGGAATTTCGAAAAATCCGTTCTTACTGTGCATTCCCATGGCATACCCTACTAAAATGCAGTTAAAAACAAAAAATTGTATTTAAAATAGTACAGTAGAAGTTGTTCTTCAGGTTAAGCCTTAATGCTCTCCCTCTTCCCCCCCGCTTGGGAATTTCGAAAAATCTCTTCTTAGTGTGTGTTTCCATGACGTACCCTAACTGTGTACCAAATTTCACCTCTAGGTTCAGCGGTTTGCTCTGGGCGATGATGAATCAGTGACTAAGTCAGTCAGAACAAGTAATTTTATATATTTAGATAAAAATGTTCAAAAATTTGATTATTTTTCAGTAGATTTAGAATAAATTATTGAAGTTATTCTAATAATTCAAAAATTTTAAGATTTAAGATCCTCTTTACAATATTAACATGAACTGTCTTCATATGTTATACTCTGAAATAAAATACTTGATTATTGAAGTGGTGAAAAAACTTTTCTCAGTAAAATAAAAATTAAAAAACATATATATTTTAAAAATATTATGGTATGTCCTTTAGTATTTTAGTTTCAAAAATAATTATTTTACAGGATTACGGAATATGGGAGCGAGGTGACAAAACTAATCATGGTCTTCCAGAATTGAATGCCAGTTCTATTGGGATGGCAAAAGTAAATTTATATTTTTTTAAAATCTCAATAATTAATATTAAATAGTTTTATTACTATTATTAAAAAACATTGTTAATATCCTTAGGCAGCTTTAGAAGCAATGGATGAGCTAGATTTATTTGGTGGACGAGGAGGACCTTCATCTGTAATTCATGTATTAGCTGATGAATCACAAAAGTGTCATGTAATTTAATATTATATAATAAGAATGAAATTTTTAAAATAAATGTATAGACGTATTTACAATAGCATAATATTTTAGGCGGTGTTACAATCAATGTTACCAAGAGAATCAAATTCAAAGGTAAATTTAACAAAATTTATCTTGCCGAAAGTTTTTTGTTTCTAATTATGTTATATATTAAAGGAAGTCGATGCTGCACTTCTTTCAATTATAAGTTTTCCTGCCTTTGCAGTAGAAGATCCAGAATTAATTGCTTTAACTAGAAATACCGTTCTTGATAAATTAATGGTAGGTATTTTAATTATTTTTTTAATTAAAGCCTGAAATTATTTTTTTATCTATATATATAAAAATGAATGTGTCTGTGTGTCTTTCATGTATTACCACACTGTTTATCCGATTGCCGTGAAACTTTGGGAAGTTGTTTAATACACTCCCGCGAAGGTTTCTGGCATAGTATATTTATCCTACGATAGATGGCGTGCACGTATATGGGCATTTTACTGTGTGTTCGATCGATTTCAAATTGTGAAGACCATTTCCTCTTTCCAAAAAATATCTCTATATATGTATTTGTCAACTGTTATTTACAATATTTATAATAATTTTTGTTTAATCACTTTATTTCAACTTTTTTTTTTGCTAATTATGTATTTGCTTGAACTTTGTTAAAACCTTAACTGTATCCCGAACAACAACCGAAGTTGTAGGAGGAAATTCGTCTATTTTACCAATTTAGGGATCCCCCTTTTCCGAATTTTAATATCAACTCAAAATAATTTAAAAAGACAAATTACAATAAAACGGTTTATTATCCAACTATCAGAAATTTCACAACATGCCAAGGAAGAGAGGAAGGAGCAATTAAATAATTAAAATTGTAAAGGATTAAAAAATATATATATAAAAATGGGGAATATCACACTTCTGACAATCGCTGCAAGTGTGTGGGCTAAATTTGGAGAATCCCTGCTTCTCGCATGTACAACTATATGTGGCCAGCTCACGTGTCGGAAAACCTTCTGATTTATTCGTGTACGCACCAGACGGAAAAACAAAAAATATCGTGTATCCACAAGCACTCCAATAAATAAATAGAATTGAAATGACACTTTGAAATGTTTTCCCGATGAAAATGAATAATAATGATAATATTATAATAATAAGTTTCAATAAAAATGATAAAATGTAAATTGAATTTTATCATAACGAGTTTGCTTGAATTTCCTTTCTTCTGAGATTGCAGCAATGTGCGATGGGTAAGCTAGTTAATTATAGATAGTGCAATAGTGTAGTTTTACAATAGATTTTTGATAATCAAGCATCATTGAAACTGAAGTGATGCTTATTATCAGATATATTAGACTATGAATTATGCTATAGATGTGCATAACAAACACACACAATCTTTTTAATTAAATAATTAATGTAGCATACAAGGTTGAGACTAATAATATTGGAAGATTATATAGTTATGTCACTTGTACAATAATTGTGTCTGCCAGATGGTATTTGTGTCCACTACATGGTTTACAAAATGGCATCACCCATATCAAACTGCACCAGAATCAAATAGCAAACTACTATTTCAGTTTTGATAGCAAAGGCATTAGACAGTCAGATTCATAGCAGGATTTATGCACAGCATGGAGAGTCATGCTTATTGCTACAAAAAGCTTGCAAGTAGATTCAGACATTCAAAAAAGGCCAAACAAACGTATTAATAGATAATGAGTTGTGTAGACTTTAGAATAGTTTATTAAACGACTCTTATTAAGTTTTTAAAATTTGATAATTATTGTTCCAGAACAACTAACATAAATTTTATTAATTAAACACAAGCTAAAAAGTGTAATTTTTATTAATTATTCATAATAGATACAAAAATATATTCTGAAAATCAATGACTATTAAAACAGCCTTAGAAAACTTAGAGTCAATTAGCTAAAGAAGAAAAATGACTTTTTTTAAATATAAATTTTTAAAATACTAATTAAACAAAATTCAATTATTTCAATTTATTTTTGGATTTTATACTAAATCAAAATAGTTTAGACATAGTGGTACCTCAGGATACGAAATTAATTCGTTCCGAAACTGAGATTGTATCATGAAAATGCCGTAAGGTGAATCATTTTTCCCCCATACGATTACATATAAAACCAAATAATTCGTTCCAACACGAAAAATACACTCAGATTAAAGCTAAGTAGTACATTTAAAAAAAAAATAACTTTAGTAAGGAAAACACTGAAAAATGCATTTTGAAGTTGTAAATGTATAAATAACTATAATAGAATAATAATTAATTTAAAAAAATGTAGTTTTATTTGCACTTTACCTTTGAGGATAGATGACGGTGGAGGTGTAAACTGGTGGCGGGATAGAGGGAGAAGGGAAATGATAATAAAACTTAACTTACATAACATAATGTAATAATAACTTAAAAATAACTTACAAAATATAAAAAAATTAGTGTTGTTTTATATATATATATATTTTTTTAATTTTTATTTACTGCTTTTTGCTTTCTTTCCTTCACTTTCGCCAGCACTTTCACTGGATAATGGTCGCTTGGTAAAATATCTATCCAAAGAGGTTTGGCTTTACCTACTTTTTAAAATGTTTCTAAAATGACTTAGGCAAATGTCATTACTCTGAGCAGCAATACGGCCAGTGTGAACCTTTTTGGAATGTTTCTTTTCAACATAATCAGTCACTTTCTGATAATACCTCGAGATTTCCTTTATCAATCAAGATCCTTCCACGAGGAAGCAAACACGTGGACTGAGACCGATGAACAGAAGTGAATAAAAAATTGCGCTGCGAACTAATGTGACATCATATGGTGAGTTTTTGTTCGTATCGTGGAGCAAAAATATGTTCTTATTTCATGTCGTATCCTGAAAATTTCGTATGCTGGGGCATTTGTATCCTGAGATACCACTGTAATTATAAATTTACTTATTTAAATATTTTATTTGGAAAGTAATGATACTGATAAATTAAATATGTTTTAACTTTTTTTAAAATATATATAAAAGTTTATTATTGTATAAATTTTATTTTTTTTAAGGGAAAATATGGATGTAGACGTTTTTTAAGAGATGGATATAAAACAGCAAGAGAGGTAATCAATTATGTTGAATTATTTAATATTTTGTATATTTTGAAATTAAAACACTTTTTTTTAGGACCCTAATCGATTGTACTATGAACCGTGGGAATTAAAAGTGTTTGAAAATATTGAATGTGAATGGCCATTATTTTATTGCTATTTAATTATTGATGCTTGTTTTTGTGGGGATCGAGAAGCTGTAAGTTGACTTTTTTTTATAATAAATTTGTCATTTTATAACCATTTTATAATTTACTAACTGATTACATTCAGTGCTATAATTAGATAGATGCACAGGATGGAGGAGGTTTTAAAATAGAACTGATAAAAGAAATTTGTCAAATACACTGTAATAATATTTTTGTTTATAAAATACACGTGAATGATCGTGTATATTTCTTGTGTACACACAGGTTATTTATAAACAAGTGTTTTTATTATATTTCCTTACTGAAAAAACAGAGGCCCAAAAATTAAATTTTGCATGGAGCAGATGATAAGCTCATTAAGACACTGATTATATTGTATATAAGAATGTGCTTAGTTAATCCATTGTAACTTGTAAATAGATTAAATAATGTATTATTTAAACTACTTACAAGTTACAAGACAGAATGACCTTGTTATCAAAGTAGTTTGAATTAATTTAGAAAGGAATAGAAATACTTTAAACTAGCCAGTTAATCAAACAATTATATATTGCTATTTATTCATCAGTATCAATACTTTGTCTTATACAGGAATTAATTGTAAATAATAGGCTTATTTTTACTTCTATGTATTAAAAGCATTTTTTTTTTCCATTAACTATATGGAGAATAATAATATAATGATATTAACATCATATTATTTTCTACATAGCTGACGTTATTGTGCTTGAATAATAATGGTTTTCTTTTATATGAATTCACTTTACATAATGATTTCATTAACAATGATGTATGTAAAGGAGACAGATAATCTATGATGAATAAACATAAAAATTTTATATTTATATTAGTTATTCATTAATATTTCATAAACTAAATGATATGTTTAATCAATCATAGAATTACATTTAATTATTTACTATAACATCTTTAAATATAATTAGTAAATATGTCATGTAATAACTTTTGTATAATTTTTCAAATTATATGTTAAATATATTTTAATGTAATTAAATAATGCTATTATTATTTAAAAGTTATAGTTTATATTTTTATTTAACAGATGGAAAAATATTCAGAATTGTTAGATAAAATACTTGTCAAAACTGAAGATGGACTGAAATTAGTACCTGAATTGTACACTGTGCCAGCAGAGAAGGTAATTATAGAAAACATTTTTAAATAACAAGAAATAAATATTTTTACCTTTTGTGATTTGTAGGTTAATGATNCTTGTCAAAACTGAAGATGGACTGAAATTAGTACCTGAATTGTACACTGTGCCAGCAGAGAAGGTAATTATAGAAAACATTTTTAAATAACAAGAAATAAATATTTTTACCTTTTGTGATTTGTAGGTTAATGATGAATACCAACATCCGCATAGTCAGGATCGAGTTGCAATTGGAAAAATTCCATTTATGTGGGCTCAGTCTTTATATATTGTTGGTAGATTGTTACAAGAGGTAATATCATACAGTTTATGTATATAAATTTAGACATTTTTAACTAAAATTTAAATTATGTTTTTATAATTTGATTGTAATTGTATATTTTTAGGGTTTTCTTGCACCTGGTGAATTGGATCCACTGAATAGAAGACTGACATCAGAAAAAAAGCCTGACGTTGTTGTACAAGGTATAGGTGAAAATTATATTTACAAGAATAAATTAAAAAATAAAAGACAATGTGTTTTTAGTAATTCAAATTAAAGAAAGAAAATGTCCAAAAGAATTTATTATTTTTTAATGTAATTCTCTTCCTTCTCTAAACATTTCTCAATGATCTCACAAGCTTTCTAATGCCATTTAAAAATGTTTAAAGTGATCATACATGATATAAACCTTATACAATGCTTCCTCGGTGTTAGTGATGTAGTGTAGAGGTGTATCTGCTAGCAGTAATGGAAACAATAGTCTCTTTTCTTATAGAGAATATTGTTTAATCATTTATTATTATTATTATTATTATTGTTGTTAGATTGTCTTAATAGTCTTCATCAGTCATACTTGTTTTTCTTGTATTTTTTGACTGATATGTTTTTATCATATTGTTTTAACATTCTTTTGCAAATTTAAGAGAATTTATCTGCTTATGGCATGTTCATTAATAGTACAACTAAAAATGCAGCTGACACATTTATAGTTTATTAGGACAACACTGAGTACAGCCAATTTAAAAAAAAGAAACATTCAGACTTACCTAACAATGCAGTAAATGTTTCTAAAACTAGAAGAAACATTTACTGATAGTGTTTAATTTTATACACAAATTACCTTTACTGTTTGATTTGTTTAAATATAAATTTCTGTATAAGTGTTACTGAAAAAATTTACAATATTTTTATATATAACTCTCTTTTATTACTAACTAATATGGTAATTTCTAAGCAGTTTTAAAATATTTAAAAATATTAATAATATGAATTTAGATCTTTTTAATTTAAAATGATGATACTAATTTTGAAATTTATTATATGTATTGAAAGTATCATCGTTGAAATTTGTCTTACTTTGTATACAAAATTTATTATTATTAATCAACTTTGTATGTAAGGATAAAATAGTATAATAAATTATGGACTTGTATTTAATTAATTTTTTAACGTAATCTTAGAACAATGTTGTTTATATGTAAGTAATAGAAATTCTGAATATTATACAAATGAAAATATAAATTGTAACAATTAAAAGACTAATAATTTTTAAAATTTTGAAGTTGTAATATTAGCTGAAGATAATGCCATTAAAGAGAAATTACGCCAGCATGATATAACAGTTCAGACAGTTGATGAATTGGCTCCTATTGAAGTGCAGCCTGCCAGTGTTTTAAGTCATATATATGCATATTTAGGTATATTGCAATTTTTCTTTTAATCTTCAAAAAGTGTAAAAGAATTGCATAAATTATGTTACTCACTTATTTCATACTCAAGAAATTAAAATTGAATATGAGTAAAAAATAATATTTTTTATGTAGGATGGAACAAAAAACTGATGCTTTCTGGCAGACAATCAAGAGATGTTGGTTTGCTCAGTACTAGCAAACTTTATACACTTCAAGACAAAATATTTGCTTTTACCCCACAGGTATTATTTTAATATTTGTGTTTATTTCTTTGCAATTATGAAATTTTCTAACAATAACATTTCTATAATAAAAATATGAGACTATAAATTTAATTATTTAAATTAACACTTTGAAAAATTTAATTTACATTTCAAAACTTCTTTTAATAATGTTACATATGTGCTATATTTCTGTTCTTCTTATGTGTGCTGAAAATCTACTCTCCAGTTTGTTGACCAACAAAGATTCTATGTTGCATCTGATACCGATCTTCTGATTGACATTTTCAAGACAGAAATTGCCTTCCTGAAGACAAGTTGGCATATTTTAGGACGCCCCATCGTTGTTCTACCTCTCAGTTCCACCATTTTAGGTGGGTTTGGATATTAAACAATGAATATGAAATATTTATTGTGTTTCGAGGCATGGATAGAACTATACTTTCATTTTATTGGGGCTGTGCTACATTACCAAATTTGCTTGTTTTATGTGTATTCTTCAGCATGGTTTTGTTATAACTTATTCTTCTTATACCCTTTACTTAATTCCTTTTATTGTTTATATATGAAAAAAGAGTATGCTATAATTGATCTCTCCCTTTCTTTCTCTAATTCTTTAATGTATTTTTTATTTTCTTTTTAAGTTATTTTTATTTTTATATTCTACTCACAATACAGTTTTGCCAAATCGAATACCTTCATCTGGCAGATGAATTTTTTGAATGAAAAACCTGAAATTCAGTGTTTTTAGTACTTCATTTTCTCTCTGTGAATCAGATTAACATGCATTTAATATCAGTTGAGATTTAGAAAGAAGAATGTTATTTTTGTATTTATTAAATTATACCTTTTATCAGTTTTAATATTAGTTTATATTTTGTAATACAGTTACAAAATAAAAACTAATATTGAAACTAATTAAGAGCAATTAGCTTAATTCAAATTTATAATAAATTTTAAACATTATTTAATACAAATTAATTTTATCACTGAAAAATGAAACAACAGTGTTCATTTACAATTTGTTATAGAAAACATAATATGTAAATTCTTTAGGAAAAATAAATCTGAAAATAATCTTAATCTTATGATTGATATGTAATTTTTTGTAATGAATACTATCATTGTGATGCAGAACTGATTTTATTTACTCTCCATATTAACCAATAAACAGTTTAAGCATTAGATTACAATAAAAATGATTTATTCACTGATTACATTGAAAATCTTAACTATTCTTCTTCTATTTTTATCAATTGGTTTACATTATCAAAAATATAATTATTAACTTCCTATATGTTAAACTGTAATTTTTAAGTGTGTATGTATTAGATTGGTAACACCATACCAATGTAGTACATGTGTGGAATTTAAACCACTTTAAATCTTTATATTTAAATGTGTTCAATTGGTTAAAATTATCCTGTTTGGTATTGGTTCGTGGGTAATAAATTTTGGTTTTATTCAATTAAAGCACACACAAGCAATCTGCTGATGAGGGGAATGCCTCTCGAGAAGTCTTTTAAGAGAAACTGGTCCCTATTTAGGTGTTACTAATGTGAAGACCCAGAAAACTCCATATGGCCGACCTGTTGGTGAGGTGTGAATCCACAACCACTTACCAGTGTTTGGTGGTTTTATCCACTTGGCCACTGGTGGTATCATAGATAATGGACAAAAACATTTTTATCACTAAATAATTTTACTGGTTTTGAGTATATTTGTGAGTTTTTGAAAAAGTTAAAATTGTTATTTACACTTGGTTAAAAAGTATTAATACTGACAGTATTCAAATAAACATCAGTGGAAACAAAACTAATTTTTGATTCAAAATTTCAATTGTGGATTGAAAGAAATTTTCTTTATCTTATAAAGTTAAAAAGTATTAATATGGGACAGGTAAATCATTTGAATAATTCTTTTAACTGACTGATCAGTTATTTTTCATTTAAATATGTCCACTCTCCATAAATAATAACTCGTGGAGAGTGGACACAAATTAAAAACATTCCAAAAATTATAATTTGTGATAATTAATGTCTGTGCAGTATGAACTACAGACTTTCTAACAGTGGTAATGATAAAATAACAATGAAAATAATACATACAGTGGGTGATCAGTTAATGAACAAATTGAATAATGAACACTTTTTATGTTCGGACAACGAACACCTCACAGAACAAACACAAGAAGAAGTGCTGTAAATTAATGAATACTGATTGGTCTTCCCTGCTCTTCAGACAACAATTCAAAACTTTTTGGAGCACAGGAGACGTTGACATTGACGCTCAACCTGGTATATANAATAATTATTATATTTAAATTTAATAAAGAATGAGGATTTTACATCATTTATTTTTGATGTCTAATGCTGTATGTGTAATTATAAGATATACAGGATAATCAGATTAAAGTAGAACTTCCAAGAGATAGTGTGAAAAATTTGGCAATGCATGTAGTCCGACTTGAATTGGCCATGTATCTTATAACTTGCAGCATGACTTTGATAATGCTGCAAATATGACTTGCAGCATTACCAAACTCAAACTCATGAATACTATTTCTCATGAGTTCTGCTTTTTTTTGTGTCTGGTATTATAGATGAATAGGATTTCAAAATCCATGCCAAATTAGATATAATACTAGATGTATATACTGTCAGAATGCATTAAAATCTTTTTTATAACTCAAATACTTTCAATGATACAAAATTGTTGTCGTCAAGCTAACGAATGTAGAATAGAACATCGCTATTGTGTAGTAGGCCTATAGCATTCTAAAAATTTAAATATTTCAAACATTTAAACTTCACAATAGTATTCTAGGCTCATGAGTACAAGAAAGAACAGAATTTGAAATAAAATGCAAACAAAAACAAAAGGTTTAGTAACAATTAACAATATTTGCTGGATATAATCACTCACTTTTATAACTAGTTAAAAGGGTTCTTTGGACGAATAAAACATAATGTTATGTCCTTTGAATCTGATGTTTATCCAAGTTCAAGAATTATTCATAAGACCATTTTATTCCCAGATATTTTATTTAAATTCATTTCAGTTCAGAGTTTTTGCCAATCCCTCTTCAGTAAAGTACAATCTGTGGTAGAGTTTACACTATTGTTCTGTTGTACTTCTTGGACATCAATCACTTTAACAATCATTATGTTAATAAAATGATTGTAAAATTTGTTGCAGATTGAACATTTACTGAAGAGGGATTGGCAAAAACACTAGTCTGAAATTCATTTAAATAAAATATCTGGGAATAAAATGACCTTATGAGTAATTCTTGAATTTGGGTGAACATTGCATTAGAAGGACATAAAAGGGGTTTTTGGACCAATAAAACAAAATGTTAAGTAATTGTAAAAGTGGAAAACAAAAGGTACAAACAGAAAGCTCAATTTTTATGGCATGAGTTATAATATATCACAAACGCATGCCATAAACAAAAAATTGAGAGTTCTGTTGTACCATTTGCTTTTGTTTGAGTTTTATTTCAAGTTCTGTTCTTTCTCATACTCGTAAGCCTCAAATTCATTGTGAAGTTTAAATATTTGAAATATTTAAATTTTGAGAATGCTATAAGCCTACTGTGGGTAGTGATGTTCCATTCTACATTCATTAGCCTGATGATGACAGTTTTGTATTGTTGAAAGTATTTGCATTTTAGGAAAAAGATTTTAACATTATCTGACAGTGTAGACAATTAGGATTATTTTACCTGATATTATTTAATTTGTGAAATGATTAAATTTTACAAAGTATAATTTGAGATGCAGTAAAAAATCGTATGTTTGTTCTTAATACACAAAAAAATGAAAATTTTATCCAAGATTAAAGTATTTTCAATAAAAGTTTTAAGATTTTTATGAAAATCTGAAAAGAAACAGTTGATTGAACATTTGAAAAAGTATATAATGCCTGTCACATACTATTCACATTATAAAAAGAACTAAAAATTTATTTGGCATATATTGTGTTATACCATTTCTTATTCTGGCCCGACTCCCTTATTTTGTAGTTATGTTTATTTATCTAGAATCTTGGCAGAGAAGATTTCTACATGGCAAATGATTTCGAACTTCTCACAAGTACAATGCGTTCAAATTTAAATTTTCTGCGTACAAATTGGCATATGCTTGGTCGACCGGTTATGATAATACTAGTTCATCACTATCACTTAGGTAAGACATGAAAAAAATACTGCAAATTAGCTTCAAAAATTCAAAATGCTGAAAATACTGAATATTTTGAGACTTATACAGATTTCAGTTTCAAGTTTAATTACTTTTTGTTATCTAAAATTTTAAGTTTATATTTTATTCCTTTGTTTCTAATATACTTTATTTTGCATGTAATTCTTAGCATGATAAGTTTATTTTGCATGAAAATGAACTCATTCAAATGCTGAGAGAGATTTTTTATGAGACTCAAATTCTGATTTTCATGAATGATTTTATAATTAGTATGTAGTGATCCTATAAAATAATAAATTATAAACTTATTGATCATTAAAAGGTTATGAATGCATTACATATATTTGATGTTTACATTCTAATTGGGAACTTCTGCAGGATTTTTTTTAGAAATTTACATAGTATATTTTAAAAGTTACTAAGGATAATTATTTACAATTTTTATAATTTTTCAATATATATGATTTTGTTTTTCCTTCAAGAATCCATTAAAAAGACTGCAAAAGTCTGATATTCTACAAATATGGTTCACAAAGTAAGATGAATTATTATATTTATCATATTAAAAGCAAACATATGAGATATTTTCATAGTCTTGGGTTTAATTAAGGTAATTAAGTAGCTTGGTTTAAAACAAACCCAATTTTTAAGTAATACCGAACAATCTGCCATATTATTGGGTTATAATAAGATATTTAATAATTAGATGTAAGGTAATATGACTACAGGTAAGCAGTTAGTCCATCATCTTGTGATGATTTTAATAATTATAAATTAATTAATTTTTAATTTAAAATGTTCTAGAACAAAAGAATTGATTTAGAGTGAGACTTGAACCCATTACTGTGCAGGTGTATTGCCAATTATGCTACCTGGACCTCTGTCTGATCTTAACTGCCTACCTCAGTCAAATTACTTTATATTTAATTATTAAATGCCTTATTATAGTCTGATAATATGGCAGATCATTTGGTATTAATTAAAATAAGATTAATGACAAAAATATTAATGACAATATTAAAAAGATTAATGACAAAAATAAGTCCAGACTTACTTTTGGAAAGTTATTTATTGACAAAAATTACATTATCTGTAGAATATTTAGAAGAATCATAAAGTTCTTCATTTTCAGTATTTCTGCTGTTCTCATTTTTTTTATCTTTATTATGTTTTGGTTCCATGTTCTTCAGATTTATCTATTGCTGAAATTGGTAAGTCTGAAGAATTGTGGCATTAAAAATGAGCATAATAACAAGAATAAGCCCATAGATTTATTTACAACATATTCAGTACATGCATACATATCATGCTAAGTTATTTGACAATATAAATTTTTGATATATTGAAAGAATTTCTATTACTTTTTTTTCTGTTAACCTGACACTAATGCTGGGCTAATTAACAAGAAAAATGTTGAGATTATTTGTCAATGTTTTGATTTTTGTTGCCCCTTATTTGCCTTCTATTCTGTTCTAGTCAAAGTGTTGAAATTAAAGTACGATAAATAATAATTCATTAATCACAACTAGATGATCTGCTGAATTATTGGGATATGGAAAGATATTAAACAATCTGTCTAGTGGTACTGCCTCCTTTAGATAAGTTACTAATATCTGATTATTAAATTAGCCTTTTAATAACCTGATAATTTGAGCATGTAAATACTGTGTTCAGCTTCCCATACAAAAAATTACTCCAGATGTAATACGATGAGAAAAACGTCTTTATCAAAGCAGAACATGGTTATGTATAGGAATTGTGTGAGAAGTTGGTAGTTAAGGCACAAGGCTTAGCCTGTTCTATGACGTTGGGATGGCATGTCCTGCTCATGGGGTCAATGGATGGTGGTCTTTTAGATAGAACAAGTGGGAGAGTTAGTGAGGTCATTGATAAGGTGGTGTCAATACATGAGTTATTACAACCATTTAAACAAACTTAAGGCCTTTAATCTAAACAAGAAGAGATTACAGATGCAACGTAACAAAGTATTAAGGCGATAGAACATTAACATGAGTTCTGGTTACCAGTGACAAAAACGGCTAGTTTTCGTGGGTAGCTATGTCCCTTAAGACCAAGTCTAACTTAATTTATAAGTTGACTGAGAGAGAGAATGTTTACATAAAAACTTTAATTTCAAAAATTAGCTAGAAAATGCTTGTAACTGATGATACACACTTTCTGTTTGTGGGTGCTGTAACTAATTTTTGAAATTCATGTAATTCTGACAAGTTAAACAGCAATATATTTAATGATGATAAGCATTGTTTGGAATAATGGATTTAACTGAATTGAGCAAAAATTATATCTTAATTTGATGTGAATATTTTCTTTTTAAATGATTCTTCTTACTTTGATTGATAGATTATTATCCTTTCATTGATATTTGAATAAAAAAGTGAAAAATTATGTAACATATACAAAACATTTTTTTTATCTTTATTATGTTTTGGTTCCATGTTCTTCAGATTTATCTATTGCTGAAATTGGCAAGTCTGAAGAATTGTGGCATTAAAAATGAGCATAATAACAAGAATAAGCCCATAGATTTATTTACAACATATTCAGTACATGCATACATATCATGCTAAGTTATTTGACAATATAAATTTTTGATATATTGAAAGAATTTCTATTACTTTTTTTTCTGTTAACCTGACACTAATGCTGGGCTAATTAACAAGAAAAATGTTGAGATTATTTGTCAATGTTTTGATTTTTGTTGCCCCTTATTTGCCTTCTATTCTGTTCTAGTCAAAGTGTTGAAATTAAAGTACGATAAATAATAATTCATTAATCACAACTAGATGATCTGCTGAATTATTGGGATATGGAAAGATATTAAACAATCTGTCTAGTGGTACTGCCTCCTTTAGATAAGTTACTAATATCTGATTATTAAATTAGCCTTTTAATAACCTGATAATTTGAGCATGTAAATACTGTGTTCAGCTTCCCATACAAAAAATTACTCCAGATGTAATACGATGAGAAAAACGTCTTTATCAAAGCAGAACATGGTTATGTATAGGAATTGTGTGAGAAGTTGGTAGTTAAGGCACAAGGCTTAGCCTGTTCTATGACGTTGGGATGGCATGTCCTGCTCATGGGGTCAATGGATGGTGGTCTTTTAGATAGAACAAGTGGGAGAGTTAGTGAGGTCATTGATAAGGTGGTGTCAATACATGAGTTATTACAACCATTTAAACAAACTTAAGGCCTTTAATCTAAACAAGAAGAGATTACAGATGCAACGTAACAAAGTATTAAGGCGATAGAACATTAACATGAGTTCTGGTTACCAGTGACAAAAACAGTAGTTTTGTGGGTAGCTATGTCCCTTAAGACCAAGTCTAACTTAATTTATAAGTTGACTGAGAGAGAGAATGTTTACATAAAAACTTTAATTTCAAAAATTAGCTAGACAATGCTTGTAACTGATGATGCACACTTTCTGTTTGTGGGTGCTGTAACTAATTTTTGAAATTCATGTAATTCTGACAAGTTAAACAGCAATATATTTAATGATGATAAGCATTGTTTGGAATAATGGATTTAACTGAATTGAGCAAAAATTATATCTTAATTTGATGTGAATATTTTCTTTTTAAATGATTTTTCTTACTTTGATTGATAGATTGTTATTCTTTCATTGATATTTGAATAAAAAAGTGAAAAATTATGTAACATATACAAAACATTTTTTTTATCTTTTTTTGCTAATAACTATCAAATAACTGAAAACATATCTTTTAGATTCAGAATCAATTTTTGATTTCAGTGTCATTTATTTTTCAGTCAATAATAACTTTTCTAATTTACAAATTGCAGATCTATAGATTTCCACTTTCATTTGTTTGTTCCTTAATCTCAAGATTGGAGTTAGGTCTTATTCCAGATTGAAGTTTGTATTGTGTGAATTCCAACCCAGACTGGAAGTCGCATGATTTCAATTTAAAATTTTCTTGAGAATGGAGTTAAATAGATGAAAGTTAAGACCAGATATGGAACTTTAGAAGTCACGTGGTTTTTAAGTTACAATATGATTAAAAATTTCAACCCAACAACTCAAAATAATCAAATTTTAAATTATTAGTATTTGTTGTTAAGTGTTCAAATTTAACAACAAATATTAGAATATTTAATAGACATTAATAATTTAAAATTTGATTATTTTGATATCCAGTAACAAACTTTAATGTAAAACTTGACAAACAAGATCTGCATCAGTTCAACAATGATATTGGAAATTGGAATGCACAGAACAACCTTTTCAAAAATTTTTTAAATGATTAGAACAAACCCTAAAAATGTAAAATATAAACTATACTTATAAAGAATTGGTGGCATTTTTAAGATGTATAAAATTAAAACAGACATAAAATATTACATAATAATAACTAATTTATGTGAGTATTTTCCAGTTTTTCATAAAAGCATTATCAATCAGATAAAAGTTTAAGAGCACTGTCTATTGGCATTAATAAGGTAATACCTTATTAACGCCAATAGACAGTTCTGTCGGCATTAATAAGTTAATAAACACAACTGAAAATAACCAAAATTACCTTCTTTTCAATAACTAGATAAAATTACTAAATACAACCAACAAAACCTTTAATATTACCTTATTAACGCCGATATATATTAGATATATTAAAATCATTTTCATTAATTTTAACAATAAAGGTGGAAAAGTATGTTTGACTTTGATGCCAAAGTAAGGATTAATTTAATATACATTCAGTTACAGCATAAAAGTACTTTTACTTCATAAGAATATTATTTATAGGTATAAAATGCTATATAGGGAGATAGTATTTAGTTATTAATAGTTTTATCTAGATATAAAATTGAATTTTATAAGATATTCAATGATCATTTTAAAAAGTTATAAAATATTTTGATTTTAATTACTTTAGAAAATGACAAAGTCCCTGGAGCAATGATTTCCACAATTAAGAAATTAAAAAGTGGTTACATTAATGGTACTCGGTAAGTTATGATTTCATGTTTTAATTATTAATTAATTATTAGTTTGTATGATATAGGAGGAAAACAGTAGTCCTTGTACTTTAAATTTAATTTTTTTTGAAAGGCTGTTCAAACTCTGAATTGTTTAAAGTTGAAATGAATTTTGCTCATTAGAAATAATGGAAAGCAAATTAATTCATTCTCGACTCTAAATGATACACATCAATAAATACACATAATTTAAGGTAAAAAGCAACATAGTTAAATGTGCTAAATAATAAATTAAAACACAAAAACAATAAATAAGATGTGTAAATATTGTGTAATAAAATTAAAGTTGCATTTACTGGTTCCACACTGTTGATTTTGCACCTTAAACATGATTGGCAGATTCATCACACACACTACTTTTCTGCTTTACAATGAGTTCTTTTCTCATCTCAATTGTCAATATTATGACCTTCCTCTTATGCTTTGTTGCTTCCACACACTTCTTGGATGTCATGGTTAATATGTATGGGCTACATATATATAAAACTAAACATACTAAAAATAAAGCAAGAAAAGCACTGAAAACACACAAGAATATTGTAAGAAATGCTTTTGCAGTGAGAGTGATTTACTAATTGGATGCAAACAAGTGATGATTACACAATGAGTGCAGTTTGAACATAGCCAGACTTACTTTTGGAAAGTTATTTATTGACAAAAATTACATTATCTGTAGAATATTTAGAAGAATCATAAAGTTCTTCATTTTCAGTATTTCTGTTGTTCTCATTTTTTTTATCTTTATTATGTTTTGGTTCCATGTTCTTCAGATTTATCTATTGCTGAAATTGGTAAGTCTGAAGAATTGTGGCATTAAAAATGAGCATAATAACAAGAATAAGCCCATAGATTTATTTACAACATATTCAGTACATGCATACATATCATGCTAAGTTATTTGACAATATAAATTTTTGATATATTGAAAGAATTTCTATTACTTTTTTTTCTGTTAACCTGACACTAATGCTGGGCTAATTAACAAGAAAAATGTTGAGATTATTTGTCAATGTTTTGATTTTTGTTGCCCCTTATTTGCCTTCTATTCTGTTCTAGTCAAAGTGTTGAAATTAAAGTACGATAAATAATAATTCATTAATCACAACTAGATGATCTGCTGAATTATTGGGATATGGAAAGATATTAAACAATCTGTCTAGTGGTACTGCCTCCTTTAGATAAGTTACTAATATCTGATTATTAAATTAGCCTTTTAATAACCTGATAATTTGAGCATGTAAATACTGTGTTCAGCTTCCCATACAAAAAATTACTCCAGATGTAATACGATGAGAAAAACGTCTTTATCAAAGCAGAACATGGTTATGTATAGGAATTGTGTGAGAAGTTGGTAGTTAAGGCACAAGGCTTAGCCTGTTCTATGACGTTGGGATGGCATGTCCTGCTCATGGGGTCAATGGATGGTGGTCTTTTAGATAGAACAAGTGGGAGAGTTAGTGAGGTCATTGATAAGGTGGTGTCAATACATGAGTTATTACAACCATTTAAACAAACTTAAGGCCTTTAATCTAAACAAGAAGAGATTACAGATGCAACGTAACAAAGTATTAAGGCGATAGAACATTAACATGAGTTCTGGTTACCAGTGACAAAAACGGCTAGTTTTCGTGGGTAGCTATGTCCCTTAAGACCAAGTCTAACTTAATTTCTAAGTTGACTGAGAGAGAGAAAGTTTATATAAAAACTTTAATTTCAAAAATTAGCTAGACAATGCTTGTAACTGATGATGCACACTTTCTGTTTGTGGGTGCTGTAACTAATTTTTGAAATTCATGTAATTCTGACAAGTTAAACAGCAATATATTTAATGATGATAAGCATTGTTTGGAATAATGGATTTAACTGAATTGAGCAAAAATTATATCTTAATTTGATGTGAATATTTTCTTTTTAAATGATTCTTCTTACTTTGATTGATAGATTATTATCCTTTCATTGATATTTGAATAAAAAAGTGAAAAATTATGTAACATATACAAAACATTTTTTTTATCTTTTTTTGCTAATAACTATCAAATAACTGAAAACATATCTTTTAGATTCAGAATCAATTTTTGATTTCAGTGTCATTTATTTTTCAGTCAATAATAACTTTTCTAATTTACAAATTGCAGATCTATAGATTTCCACTTTCATTTGTTTGTTCCTTAATCTCAAGATTGGAGTTAGGTCTTATTCCAGATTGAAGTTTGTATTGTGTGAATTCCAACCCAGACTGGAAGTCGCATGATTTCAATTTAAAATTTTCTTGAGAATGGAGTTAAATAGATGAAAGTTAAGACCAGATATGGAACTTTAGAAGTCACGTGGTTTTTAAGTTACAATATGATTAAAAATTTCAACCCAACAACTCAAAATAATCAAATTTTAAATTATTAGTATTTGTTGTTAAGTGTTCAAATTTAACAACAAATATTAGAATATTTAATAGACATTAATAATTTAAAATTTGATTATTTTGATATCCAGTAACAAACTTTAATGTAAAACTTGACAAACAAGATCTGCATCAGTTCAACAATGATATTGGAAATTGGAATGCACAGAACAACCTTTTCAAAAATTTTTTAAATGATTAGAACAAACCCTAAAGATGTAAAATATAAACTATACTTATAAAGAATTGGTGGCATTTTTAAGATGTATAAAATTAAAACAGACATAAAATATTACATAATAATAACTAATTTATGTGAGTATTTTCCAGTTTTTCATAAAAGCATTATCAATCAGATAAAAGTTTAAGAGCACTGTCTATTGGCATTAATAAGGTAATACCTTATTAACGCCAATAGACAGTTCTGTCGGCATTAATAAGTTAATAAACACAACTGAAAATAACCAAAATTACCTTCTTTTCAATAACTAGATAAAATTACTAAATACAACCAACAAAACCTTTAATATTACCTTATTAACGCCGATATATATTAGATATATTAAAATCATTTTCATTAATTTTAACAATAAAGGTGGAAAAGTATGTTTGACTTTGATGCCAAAGTAAGGATTAATTTAATATACATTCAGTTACAGCATAAAAGTACTTTTACTTCATAAGAATATTATTTATAGGTATAAAATGCTATATAGGGAGATAGTATTTAGTTATTAATAGTTTTATCTAGATATAAAATTGAATTTTATAAGATATTCAATGATCATTTTAAAAAGTTATAAAATATTTTGATTTTAATTATTTTAGAAAATGACAAAGTCCCTGGAGCAATGATTTCCACAATTAAGAAATTAAAAAGTGGTTACATTAATGGTACTCGGTAAGTTATGATTTCATGTTTTAATTATTAATTAATTATTAGTTTGTATGATATAGGAGGAAAACAGTAGTCCTTGTACTTTAAATTTAATTTTTTTTGAAAGGCTGTTCAAACTCTGAATTGTTTAAAGTTGAAATGAATTTTGCTCATTAGAAATAATGGAAAGCAAATTAATTCATTCTCGACCCTAAGTGATACACATATCAATAAATACACATAATTTAAGGTAAAAAGCAACATAGTTAAATGTGCTAAATAATAAATTAAAACACAAAAACAATAAATAAGATGTGTAAATATTGTGTAATAAAATTAAAGTTGCATTTACTGGTTCCACACTGTTGATTTTGCACCTTAAACATGATTGGCAGATTCATCACACACACTACTTTTCTGCTTTACAATGAGTTCTTTTCTCATCTCAATTGTCAATATTATGACCTTCCTCTTATGCTTTGTTGCTTCCACACACTTCTTGGATGTCATGGTTAATATGTATGGGCTACATATATATAAAACTAAACATACTAAAAATAAAGCAAGAAAAGCACTGAAAACACACAAGAATATTGTAAGAAATGCTTTTGCAGTGAGAGTGATTTACTAATTGGATGCAAACAAGTGATGATTACACAATGAGTGCAGTTTGAACATAGAATCATCATTTGAACCTTGCATCAAATTTCTCTTGAATTTAGTTTGAATTCTGGAATGTTCAAAGTTGAGGTACCACCCACATTTTTAAAGTTAATTTGTGGTCTTTTCCAAAATTTGATCTTTGAAATCAAAGAAACAAGTTATATTTTAGTAATTAACATTTTTTATTTTATAAAGTTGATACATCCTAAGAATGGGAGTATATTATTGTTAATTCATATTAATTTATGCATATGAATTACATGTTCTTGAATCAAGATTTAATGTAAATTTTTATGATTTTTCTGACTCTTAATTGATATAACTTAATTATTCATTTAAATGTTGAATATTATTAAAAAAAATATAGACACAAAATAATAAAAATTATATAATGAAGTATATCATCTCTGGCTCAGTGGGCCTTTGAGGTCTTTGACTGCAAGCAGTATCTTATGCTATCCTTTACTGTCCAATCTACAATGTCTAATGTATCCAGACCTTTATCCACATTGCCCTCCATTATCATCTGTGATGTCTTATTGGATAGACAGGGCCATCACAAGCAGGTATGTGAGGTGACTCCTACATGTGGGTGACATCGTCAAAGTACCACTAAAAGGTATTCCTAATTAAGTGTCTGATTTGAATTATTAAGTGACAAAAAAATGTAACTAAGCATTATGTTGATAAAGAAAAATTGTGAATGTCAGCAATCCAAGTGTTAATGTTGTAATATATATTTTTATAAATTTATAGTGTTGCATGATAAAGCATACATGAAGTATCCCTGATGGTGTTTATCACTGGTCTGGCAAGAAATAAACTTCTGTATGGACTAGTACATAATAACGTTTTCAGATGTTCATGATGTTCATACCATCCAAACTCAATTCAAAGACATTTTGATGATCAAAATACAGGAATTCATCATATATTTGCACTAATTCATAAGGCACAATAAATAAGAACTTGCAGACAGGGTGAGATATCCTAGTGGCAGCTTTCAGGTGAGATATCTGTTTTGCTATACAG